TTTCAAGGATGAATGAAAGTATGTGACCTTCCTTCCTCCAACTAGATAAGTAGCTTAAAATGTCTTTTATATTCAGCTGAATTTTTAGGTTTCAGGATGTTGAATTTTTATATTCATCTTTATATTATGTCAGTGGAATAGAAGCCAATTCCCCCTCTTAATAGATAATCACTTTTTAAGGTCTCTGTGTTCACTAAAGTCATCCTAATAATGTATAAGAGAAAAATGTAGCCACATTATTCACAAAAAGAATATATATGTATGTCACTTTTTTCTTTTGGTAGATACATGACATTTCTCTCATGCTTTCTGAAAAGTAAAGGCACACAGCAAATCAGCATCTCTTTTCTTTTCCGAGTATCAACAACATTGTGAGCTTAATGCTTCCAGAACCCCCACTTTCCTCAGCAATTACATCCTCTTGTATTTGTATGGCTTCAGCTTTTGGCTGTGTCTGCTTTTCCTCCTATTTTATGTCTGATTAAATACCGAGCCAAGTCAACCCTGTTGGGAATGCCACCCATATGAAAGGGAAGTCTTCATAAGTCCCAGAAATTATAAATTGAATGGATAAATAATTATCACTTTTCAGTTACAGCACAATTGTGAGAGCACAACTAGAATACTAGATATTGAATGTCAGCTTTGAATATTCTCTTATTTATTCTTGTGTAGGGGTTCATATTCTCAAGGAGCAGAGAACAAAATTTATCAACTTGTTTATGTCACAACATTTACTTTATTTATTTTTTATAAATGTACTTTTTTATTGGTATTCAATTTGCCAACATATAGAATAACACCCAGTGCTCATCCCATCAAGTGCCCCCCTCAGTGCCCATCACCCAGTCACCCCCACCTCCCCGCCCACCTCCCCTTCCACCACCCCTACTTAGTTTCCCAGAGTTAGGAGTCTTTCATGTTCTGTCTCCCTTTCTGATATTTCCCACTTATTTTTTCTCCTTTCCCCTTTATTCCCTTTCACTATTTTTTATATTCCCCAAATGAAAGACCATATAATGTTTGTCTTTCTCTGATTGACTTACTTCACTCAGCATAATACCCTTCAGTTACATCCACATCCACAACATTTACTTTAAATAAAAGTCCTGTATAGTGTTGGGATCTGAGAAGTGAAGAATTAGAACCACCTCAAGATCCAGAGCCACCAATCACCATACCCCGAATGACTTTTCTTTCCCTCTCTTTACTTTTCTCCCCACAGAGTTTAAGTTATTTCTTCTGTGTTTACCAAAGAGTAAGTCGTCTATGTAGCAAATGGTTTTTGTTTTTAATATAGAGAATGTCATGTTAAAGTGTAGGGAGAACCAACTCTTTTTCGCTCTTGGGCATATAAACTATATGTTATTTAGCCATCGTTTATTTCTTGAGACTCTATGTATGTAATTTACGGCTATAAAAATGGATTTCTTGATCCAATTACTTTCTAAAACATCCTGTGTCTTAATTCACCCCTCTTCCACGGACTCCTGAGATTTAAGTGTCTTCCACTAGGATACTTGCCAAAACTTGACCTGGATATCTGGTTAAGATTTCACATTTTTCAGGCATGAAAAGGTGACAGAACTGTGTGTGGGAGATGGGCAAGATGTTCTTTGAAAGAAGGGAAGAAAAGACAGAAGTAGGTTCTGTGCAGGAACTTCTATGACTGAAGGCTAAAGTCAATGTTTAGGAGTCTAAGAACAAGAAGACTTCAACCATTAGATTTCAGATGACATTCCAAATCTCTCACATCAATTATCCCATTTCTCCTTCACAGCAAAGCTATGCAAAGTTAAAAGTTTAATACGTTTCCCAGAGCACTCCACTAGTCAAGTTGGCAGAACTGGAATCAAAACTGAGGTCATTGGGCCACCTGGGTGGCTCAGCAGTTGAGCATCTGCCTTTGTTTCAGGTCGTGATCCCGGGGTTCTGGGATCAAATCCCACATCGGGTTCCCATCGAGGAGCCTACTTCTCCCTCTGCCTATGTCTCTGCCTCTCTCTGTTTGTCTCTCATGCATAAATAAATAAAATCTAAAAAAAAAAAAAAACAACCCTGAGGTCATCTAAATCTAGAACTTTCACTAAAACTGTGAGATACTATTTTCTAAAATTCATTTAATCTAAGAGAGTGTTCAGTGAAGTCCCAACTTAATTGTTTTTGTTCTTATCTGAAGCCATGTCTCTTTTAGCAGACTTTGATTTTGATGAGTTTGAAAGGATGAGTAGATGAGGTATCATATTCCAATCACCATGATAAGAGAGATAACTAGGATGGTGTGTGACACTTCATAGGTGCTCACATTGTTGGATGAATGAATGGATGCATGTGTGACTGATTGATACTATAATATGTCTGTTTACCTGCACTCTTCAGGGTTTTGTGACTACAGTTATCTGTGTTACACCTAAAGCTACGCTCACAAAGCAAATGCATGACATTCAGTATTTGTGTCATTATACTTTTAATGAGAGAGAGAGAACCCTTTTAAAAGCAAAATAATTCATTGAAAACAATGCAGGTGACACATGCAATTGTCACTTTTCTATTCTGAGAGAATTGGATTCCATCTGTGCCAGCCACACAGCTGGAGGATGAACACATGGAGACATTCGTTTCACAGAATGTGGTGCTCCTCAAGGTGCTAAAATCCAAATAAGTCCTTGAAAATTGAAGTGGAGCACTAAATATAGTGTGTCATAAAATTGAAGTCCCATAAGCTAAATGGCAGTATATCATCAGAACATGATGGTAATTGTAAAAACAACAACAGTGGTTGTAAAATAATAAGATATACTTTATTGAGTTCTTACAATCTGCTTGGCATTATGCTTAACAGGTGTGGTCTGCTATCTCATCCAGTTTTTGTTTTCCCCGATTTGGTCATGGTTAGAGTCATTTGCACTATTGGAGAGGGAATATGATGAATAAGGACTATTTGAATTTAACTCTTTCATCTTATCTTAGATGCTAAATTTACCCTCGGTGCTATAGGTGGTGGAGAGGTGGGAAGGTGAAGAATGGAGCATGGGTATGACTTCAAATCTACATCTTGGTATTTAAAGCCTGAGGAGACTAAATTGGTAGTCAAATTTCCACTTCAGTTAAAAATATTTTTTAATGTACTTTGGGCCATTCTGGAATTTGTTTGGATCCAGAGTGTTTTTCTGGATTTATTTATGCCAGAGCCAGTGTTTTGTATAAGTCACAGTCCAAAGAGAAAACAGGAGGTATTAATAAATCTATTACAGAACTGTGTATTTTCAGGTTGTAATTTAAGATACTGTTGCCAAAGTCAACTTGGGGATTTAAAAAAATCTCAATAAACTCAGAAAAGTTTGCCAGAAATAAATAACTTACCTACAAAATTTTGTTATAGCATTATTGAATGTGGTGATCTAGTAAATTTATATAAAAATTTGACTCTCTACAAAACAACCGCTATTTGTAAATGTTGTATCAAAGTGTAATTGGCTTACCCCTTGGTCCAGGATATATTCAGCATCTCCTGAACCCAAGAATGCATTATTTATTAGGAACATTGTAGAGCTACCACTGAATTAAGTGTATTTATCTTTGTGGGCAATATCATTCATTTAGCCAAAGTGACTAGTTTATCACCATTTAAAGACAGTGAAAATTCCATATGAATCAATAAGTTAAATGTTGGCATGGGACTCTCTTAATAGGGACCCACCTTTCTGAGATTTGGATATTCATGTAATCAGAAGAATTACTCAAAGCAAATGAGCATGATAAATATAGCTATAACCCTAGATTGCATTTGCTGGTGTTGAGCCAGCAGGAATGTGATGCTATTTGTGAAATACCTAAAGAGGCTGTTGTGCTAGTTGCCATTACTGATAAATGGGTTAATATGATTCGCTGTGGGTTGTGTTAGATTATTTTCCTAGTGATTTACAGAGTTTTAAATTTCACATTTCAAAAAAAATCGCCAAGAACGAGTTCTTAAAAAAGAATTTTTATCTCTTTTTTTACCATCATTTCATAAATTTCAGGACAAAAATGTACACAGCGTGTTGTTAACCTAACTCAACAAATGTGAGTTGAATAAATCGATAAATGACTGAACAACAAAAAATTGTGATGATATCATTCAGAATACAGGAAAGGCTTTACATGAAATATACTTAGTTTTAGGAAAAACTAGATGCATTGTCCTTAATATTCCAATTTCCCATACCCCCAGAAAACTCTTCACATACTATGAAACCACCCCTCTGTTTAGGGAGAATTGTGTAGACTAGCCACTAACTAGTTTAAAGTTAGCAGTGTTCTGGACATGCTGCTTATCCATCTGACTACCCATCATTGAATATTCACTGCCAGTATTTTACTAGGCACCTACACTGAGCCAAACACATGGTAGTCTAGGGTTCCAGGATGCCAGAATGATGAAGATGCAGTCTGAGCCTTTAAGCAGAGTGACTTAGCTGGGAGAAAGAGATGAGCTCTCCCCACCACCAAAACAAACAAACAGATGTATGGTCTCTATTATGTTTGCAGCTCTCTGTGAGTCTATAATTATTTCAAAATCAAAAGTTAAAAAATGAATGGACATATGGTCATGGGACTAGCACTTTGCTTGGCATGGGGACACATGACGACATGAAACCATGAAACAATGAAACCCAGAGAGCCAGAGTTGAGTGGACAAAGGTAGAGAAGTGAACAATGTGGGTACAGTATGGTAAGTGATCAGATGGAGGTTAAATAGTGGCTCAGACAACACGAGGAAAAGTATGGCTTAGATTGGGGGTGAGGTCAGGCAAAGCAGCCCCAGGGGAACTGGTTAGCCAATTTTTAAAGTACATGGCACGTGGAAAGAATTTGGAATGGTGTGTGGACTACAAGCTCATGTGGCATCTGTAGAATTAAACTCTGTAGACTTCTGCCCCTATTGGATGGAGACTTCTGGCTGCAGTGCTCAGTGGCCAGGATGCCAGGCATGCTCATCTGTTGTGTCTCCCCTGCAGTGTCCAACAAGCACCCATTTGTGGACAGCAACCTTCTCTACCAGTTCAGAATGAACTTCCGGCGGAGGCGCAGACTGATGGAGCTGCTCAATGAAAAATCTCCCTCCTCTCAGGAAACTCACGACAGCCCCTTCTGCCTGAGGAAGCAGAGCCATGACAATCGGAAATCTACCAGTTTTATGTCCGGTATGTCAGTTCCATTGTGTATCCAATCACCTGCATTTGTCTTGTGAGAAATAGTATAGTAATAACTCACCTTTGTGGAATGCTGTTCTCCAGCCCATTTTTATTTATTCACAACCAACAAGTATGAAAAAAACAAAACCCGGCATGACCAAATTGTTCCTGGGCAGTCAATTTAGATGTCATGAAGACCGTCTTATAAAATTATGTCTTTGCATGATAGAAGGCTTCTTAAGTTCTCACTTTACCTTATTTACTTTTCATTTGTAAACAGTTCTCATATATCATTAATGATCCCGTTTTCTAAATCATAGCACTGAAATGCTGTATGTTTTAATGGTGAGTAAAGACTTTTGAGGGCATATACAAGAAAAAGGCAATTAACTGATTGCCCATCCGTCATGAAGGGGTGATCCAGAACAAAGAAAACTTGTGAAAAGCAAACACAGGAGCTCATAAAACCTAGGGTGTTACATGGAAGGTCAAACAGTCCTATTTTTACAGTGAGCCCTGACAGAAATGATGCTGACGGATGTTCACAAAGATAGCCCTGCTCATCCGGAAAAAGTTAACTTGATGTCCCTTCTGTATAAGAAGTAGAGGTGCTTCAAGGCGTATCTTCAACTCCTCTGAAAATTTGGCGTTGACCCAAGGAACTGGCTGGCCTCAGGTCTGGAAATTCAGGGTTTCACCTGAAACTCAGGGCACAGGGAGAATGTGTGTCTTGGTTACTTACAGCAGGTGTCAGTGAGAACACTCATAGCTATATTGAGACTTTTCTGCACCCCTGGCCCTGAGCTAAGCTTGCTTGCATGAGTTTTATTATTTAAATCTGACTATATCCTAAGAGGAAGGATTTTTCTTATCCTCATTTTATGGGTGGAGAAACTGAGACCTGGATCAATGGAGGAGCTGACCCAAGGTCAGCCTAGACAGTGGTGGACAGAGCTGGATCTTAGACCAGTTCTGTATTAATTCCAATGCTTATGTTATATTGTCTCTACCCTGATCCCCCTCATCAGACACATCTAGGGTGGAAGAAAGAATGAAGCAAGAGCCCCTCAGGCAAAGTAAGCACTTACAGATGGTCAGGAGCCCAGCCTGTGCTCAGATACACACCAGTAGTGTGTCACCATAGAGCTGTGGTCTTCTGCAAATGCAGAGTAACTGTTCATGTTCTTTCTAGCCCGGAGGCCTGCCTGTTTCTTGTGGGCACAAGAGACCTGAAAAGTGACAATGATGATAGGGATAGAGTGGCTGTGGTCACTATAAAAGCCAGCATTTACTTTGTGCTTCCCATGTTCCAGGCACTAAGCAGGTACTCTCCACGGCTTCCTTCATTTGGCCATACACCTTCTTCTCCTCTCCTTGTCGAGAGCCACTGACTCTGCAGGCAAAGAGGACCAGGTCAGAGCATTAAACTGCTGCCTCACATACACTGTCAGAGCTAAATATGTGTTATTATGTTCTAATCTCCTTCGTCCATGGCTCTGGGTGACTTCATATTAAAATCAGGAGGCACTTGTTATTACTGTTAATCCATTAAGTGTAGAGCCAGCAGTTGATTTATATCCTTCCTGGGACTGCTCAGCGTGGGCTCAACCGCTCTTGAAATAACCTTTTGTGTGCCTGAGTACATCCTCTTACAGTATATGGCCCACTCCTCGTACCAACCCCCTGAGATCACATTATTCCCACTTCACAGCTGGGGAAGTGGAGGCTGGGAGGCCTGTGCCTGAGTACGTGCCTGTACATTATATACACTACTCCCCCGACCAGCCCTGTGAGATCACATTATTCCCACTTCACAGCTGGGCAAGTGGAGGCTCCGAGACCTGAAGCAAAGTGCCTGAGGTTGTGCCATCAGTGAGTGGGCAGGTTGCCCTTCAAATTCTTGCTTCTCTGACTCAGAGGCCGGGTGCGTTTTCCTGGCATGTGTGACTCGCCTGCCTCTATCTTGTGGCGGAAAGCCCACATGCTCCAGGGAACCAAAGCCACCATCCTCACGACCTTGTGTGTGTATGTGTTTCCGGCCCACACAGTCAGCCCCAGCAAGGAGATCAAGATTGTGTCTGCGGTGCGGAGGAGCAGCATGAGCAGCTGCGGCAGCAGTGGCTACTTCAGCAGCAGCCCCACGCTCAGCAGCAGCCCCCCTGTGCTCTGCAACCCCAAGTCCGGTGAGTGACCAAAAGGCATCCCCCATTTCTAACCATGACTGGGCAGAGGTCCAGGCTGGGTAGGTTCCTTGGGCAGCAGATTCTCTGATGGGGGTGGGGGAGGTAGGGGCAACTAATACGTGGCAGTCTTGTTATGGCTACTCTGGGGGCCAACACCTGTTGAACACAAGGGAAGCACGTAGGTTTGGGCAGAGGGAGAATCAGGCTGCCCCACTACCCCTGAAGGGAGCTCTAGAGTCGGGGTGGCCCTTCAGAGTTGTCCCAACTGGTGGCTGAGGTGGTCAGGCCTTTCAGCCCTCCTGTTGACCAGTCGTTAGTTGTTGGCTGCCCCTGGGAAGAGGGCATCACCTTAGGTAAGGCAGCTCTCTTCAGAGGTGGTTCCAAAGACAGTTGAAGGTATCAGCAGTTATAGCAACTGGCAGAAGCCCCTCAGTTCTGAAGAGGGATTGAGCAGGTGCAAAGACCTTTTGAGTTCCCATATCTCCCAAAGAAGAGGCACAGATCTGTGCAAACCCAACTCTCTCTGAAATTGAATCTTGGTGCCTTGCAGTTTCAAATCCTCCTAATCAACCTCTGTGGCCTTTATATTAAAAAAAAAAAAACGAACAAACAAACAAAAACAAAAAGGCTAGGCACAAAGACTGTTGATGAGCTTGTGCTTAGAAACAGTTCTTCCTTGACCCAATCAATTCTTCAGCCTGTCAGAACTCTCACTCACCGATCCTACTAGCTCCTCACTGCTCCTTACCTACCTCTCCCAAGATTCGATTGCATGGCCCATCATGAAAATAATGATTGCTTTGAAAACACCCTCAACCCCCTTCATTTAGTGCTCTGTCCACCCTTAGTCTAGTCTATCACCTTCAGGGAAGGGGCTTTGTTCCTTTGGCTCATGATGTTCCCTCCTCACTGCACTTGGGGATACAAAGATGAAAGGTTGTGACTCCTTCCCTTGGTGAAAATACCATCTCTCTGTGGGGGGGACATGCCTGTGAGACTAAGGGCAAATAGATAGATGTTCAAAGAGCTTTAAGAGAAAATTATTATCTAAGACCGTTATCTAGGAAAGTGGGTATTTCACTTATTTTAACATTTTTCTGCTACCTTCTGGAGGTTTAGCTGGAAGAATAAAATCATAACCTGCAACATATGAATGAAGAAACTTGCTTCCACACTGACTCTAGCTGGAAAATCATTGTGCACCCATATGCAACTGGGTTTTTCAATTCATGGAACACTGCTGTTAAGGTAGAATGAGAAAGGAGAACTGTATTCTTAGAAATAGGCTCTTTGAAGCCCCGATGGAAATCTGACAGGTGTTCCTAAAGTTAGAAGCAGAAGGGTGCAGTGTTAGGGAAGGGCCAGCTATGCTAAAGCCACTTTCCTTCTTTTGATTGCATACAATGGTAGAAAAAGAACAACGTGTTAATTATGTAAATGAGCTACGCATCCACCTTTACTGAGGTGGGTTTTGCATCCTTTCCTCTTTCTCCATGCCTATAGGCTTAAAGGGAAAAGTTTGCTGATAAGCAGGCATCAAGGAAAGGTCAGGTTGCCTTTTTTGGGTCTCAACTGTGGTTGCCTCAATTGTCTTAATCGTGGCTTGTAAATCCTAGGTCTTACCCATATTCTGACAAGCTTCTCCCTCACTCTTGTGGGAGGGTTCCCAGAGGGCCGTGAGCTCATGTGTGATTTTTTTTTCTCAAGCAGATAAGTAGGCCTTCTCAGTAAGGCACTTAAAATTAATCATTATATTTACATCTGGATATATTTTTAGTACTGTGAATAAATGTCCTAAGCCAGACCAAAAAAAAAAAAAAAAACAATGCTACAGATATTAGCATGATTAGTGTCCTTGGATGATTAAGTAACTTCTGAAGGACACAAGAAGAGAAAGCTAAAGGATAATTCAGTGGGCTTCATGATTTCTATATTTTTAAACAGAAGAAAGAGTGTATTAAAATAAATATTTTAATTTATAATTATTTTATCAGTATGGCAGTCAAATACTACAGTACAGTGTGATTCAAAACCATGATGAGATATTATCTCACACCTCTTAGAATGGCTGTTGTCAAAAAGACAAAAAATAATGTGTTGACAAGGATGTGGAGAAAAAGGAGGCCTTGTGCACTGAGGGTAGGAGTACAAATTGGTGCAGCCACTGTGGAAATTAGTTGGGGTTCCTCAAAAACCTAAAACCAGAACCATCATATAATCCAGCAATTCCACTTCTGGGTATTTATCCAAAGGTAGGAGAACACAAACTTGAAATGCTATTCACACCACCACGTTTGTCACGGCATTATTCACAATTGCCAAGATGTAGAAACAACCTAAGGATCCATGGATAGATGAATAGATAAAGAAGATGAGTTATATATACATAATGGAATATTTTTTTTTATTATCTGACCATAAAAAAGGAGATCTTTCCACCTGCAACAACATGGATGGATTTTGAGAGCGTTATGCTATGTGAAATAAGTCAAACAAAAAGACAAGTATGTGGTCTCACTTATATGTGGAATGAAAAGAGAAAAAAAACAAACTCGCATTTACAGAGAACAGATTGGTTGTGGCCAGAAGAATGAGTAAAGGTGGTCAAACGGTACAAACTTCCCATTATAAAATAAATAAGTCCCAGGATGTAATTAATGTACAGCATGGTCACTATAGTTAATAATACTGTATTGCGTATTTCAAAGTTGCAAAGAAAAATCTTAAGAGTTATTATCATAAGAAAAACAAGTTGTAACTATGTGAGTTGATAGGATGTTAACTGGATTTATTGTGGTGATCATTTCACAAAATACATACATATATTGAATAATTATGCTGTAAAATCAAACTAATATAATTTTATATGGCAGGTATCTCTCAAAAAAAGAAAGAGAATGTGCATTAAAAGAAGTGGTCAGTATTATAGTCAAATATTATGGTGCAATGTGATTTCTATATCCAAATTCATACACCCAGAAATGGTTATGGGGAGTAGAGAGGGGATTGTCTGATAGAGAATTAAAAGGGCTTCAGTCCTCAACCATGGACCTCTTCTCTTAGCTCCTATTCATCTGAGAGGTTCTTTTCTTGATACTCAATCTACTCCCTCTTTTGGGGGCAACACAAGTGCATGTTCTCTTTTATGAGCTTCCTGAAAGCAAAAGTCATCATCCTAGCTACCTGTCATCTCAACAAGAAGCACTTCATTGCCTTTAAAGGAAAGTGTTAGGGACAAGCTACCTGGTGGATCATCTAGGTCTTACCCTAGGCTGCCTTTTCTTTTTCTGCTGCACTCTTGTTCCAGTACTGACCTCTGACATCTGAATACTGCCAGCAAAGGGAATTGGAGGCTGGCACTTTGCCAGGTTAGGGGCCTGGCCTTGGCCACTCAAGTTTCTTTGTGACAACCAAGTTCATGATCTCCATACAACTGGGTTGGGAGGCTCCCTAGCTCCCCCCATTCACTGACTTCTCTGGATGGCCGTAGCAGTCCCCCTCTAGTTCTTAGCACAGGATGGCTGGAGAAATTCATTACAGTGGTCCCCCTTTTCCCTTTCTGGGGTGTCAGTGACCCAGGTCAAATGCAACCTGGAAGCAGATGATCCTCATTCCAACATAGCATCAGAAGCTCAGTAGTGGCCTAACACTCTATCATAATGCCTGTGTCTCCTCACTGTGTCTCCTCATATAGGCATTTTATCATCTCACTTCATCACAGGAAGGGTGAGTACAGGACAATAAGATCTTTTGAGACAGAGAGACCACTTCATATAACTTTTATTACAAAATATTCTTAAAACTATTCTATTTATTGATGTTTTATTGTAGTTATTGGTATTAATCTCTTACTGTGACTCATTTACATATTAAACTTTATCATATATATGCATGCATACAAAAAAAAACATAGTATCTATAGGTTTCAGTACCATCTGTGGCTTCAGGCACCCACTTCAGGGGGTCTTGGAAATGTATTCCCTACAGATAAGGAGGGACTACAGTATTGGCAGGTTTTTAGGCAGCCAGCAGGTCAGGAATTGGCTGCTGTCTTTGCCATTTTGGTGGGCAGCATCAGCAAGCTGATAAGAACAAATGTCTTGGAACAACTCACCACTACTTTCTGGAGATTTTGAGTCTGTTCTACTCACAGAGAGGGAGTAGCATGGGAGGGAAACCATGTAGCACAGTGGCTGATAGGCACTGGCATCAAATGCCTGAGTTTGAATCCAGATTTTGCTACCCATTAGGGGTGAGATGTTGTACAAAGCTCTTTGATTTTTTTGAAGCTTCTGGTTTCTCACTAATAAAGTAGGGACAGTGAGAAACCTACGTAAATAGCTTTTGTGATGGCTAAATGAGATAATATATTTAGAGCACCTAGCGTGCCTAGCACATGCTGAATATGCATAACATTTCTCTAGCCTATTCCTCAGGGCCAGAGGCAGTGAGTGTGTCCATACAGTCCGGGATACTGATAAGGAAACAAGTAAAGCTTCCACGAGTGGGATGTGGATGGTGTGTCATGTGAGGTTAGCTCTTGAAACATGGCTATCAGACCACTAGAGTCAGGTCTCTCTCTTTACCTTGTCCTGTTGAATGCATATCAGGATTCAAAAGAAAGAAATATGAGCACTTGAAACCTTTTTCTTTATAGAAAAATGTCAACCCACTCCTTGGCCCCACCCCTGGCACTCTGGCTTCCCTTCACCCTGTGCCATTTCTTCTTCCCATAGCTCTGTAAATTAGGCTTAGGGTTGCTCATGTTTGTTAATATTTTCTGCCTGTATTCGGCTAGAATATACATCGTGAGGCAGGGATCTTGGCCATGCTTCTTCACTGACAGTCACATATGAGGCATTTAGTAAATATCCGCTATACAAATGAACAAACAGGCAGAAGGATTTGCACCTTGACCTTGTGTCTGTCTTACAGTGTTGAAGAGACCTGTAACTTCTGAGGAACTCCTGACTCCCGGAGCTCCGTATGCAAGGAAGACGTTCACGGTAGGCTCATCATTTGGGTTTTTCTCATGCTCCTTTTCTGTGTCATGTCAACATGTCAGTGTATTAGTGTGTAGCTTAGGGATAGAATTGAAAATTTCCTAATTTTCCTTTTGTTTTTGGAATTATTATAATAGTAGTTTTCTTGACCTTTGGGCACGAAAATGTATTAGGGCTTGACATGATTTATGATTAATACAGCATTTTAAACTCGTTTTGATGTGCCCTTAAGAAAAGATTTCCATTATACTTAGTATGATATAATTGTAGACTTTAAGGCAAATGGCAGTGCAAATAATGCCAATAATTCCTTCTGTGTTATAGTTAATCCCCAAAATCATTTAAGACATTAGAGGAGTCTTTAGGGGAAAAAAGAAAACCGTGGGACAATCTGCTCTACCATAAGGAATGGTGCTTTTGACAATAATGAGCTTGTCTTGAGTTATTCAAGGACTGGATTTTGGAGCACTCTCCTTCCCCTGCCTGTTTCTCTCAGTCTCTACACAAAACCACATCAACATGCTCTTGAAAGCACTTCTCTTCCTTCTCTAACTTGTGTTTTATTACCTCAGGGACAAAAATAAATCTTGCCCCACTCATTCAGGCTGCAAATATTTGCCAAGGACTGCTTCACATTCTGGGCACTGAAGAGTTAGAATAGGATGGGCTCAGCCATAGCCAGTCAATATGAAAAAAGCATCAGAAATATGTCTGTTTCAGGGGAAAAGGTAAACTATACTTTTGGAAGTGAAATTAAGTATAATACCAGCAAAGCCTAAAGCCAATGAAGGTCCTAAACCTCTTTTTTGAGAATGGTCACAAAAATTGCATTTGCTTTCCCACCTTGCCTCCATCTTGAGCATTCGAGAAACAGTTTATTATATTTCTAAGTATTTCTTTTTGGTTTTAAAAGTAAATGCCAGTATTGCTAATAATTGTAAATGTGTCTTCTGTATTTCAGTTGGGGTTTGTATATTTTTATTACTATCTTTTAATTTAAATTCAATTTGCCAACACCCAGTGCTCATCACATCACATCCCCTCCTTAATGGGGCATGCATTGAAGACATGTCTGGGAACTGCCCAGGGAATGTAATTGTCAATTCTAATGATTCCATAGGAAAAGGCACTGTCTAGTTCCAAACCACTTTTCAACAGCACCTACTTGTAAACTGTGAACTTCGTGTACTTATTCACTTATTTTTCTTGGTAGAGAAAATTGTGTTTCAACAAAGCCAAAACTCTTCATATTTCTCACTGTTAGTAATTGAAATGGTTACTTTGAACTTTAAGGATGTAGCAAGATCACCGAGAAAGTATCATCTGGATCCAGGGAAAAAGAATAAACTTGGAACCAAAATTGAGTCTGGAGAGAAATTTCAACAATGTTTTCATGATCTTCTAAACTTTCCGTTTGAGTCTGATATTAAATTGCATAGCGGCCTAAGAAAGAGATGATCTTTCTGCCAAACTGCTATTTCTTGACCACCTTTGCTGCAAAGATGTGCTTGTGTTTGTGATAGAAGCAAAGTGTTCTGTTCTCCCTCCCTCCCTCCCAGGTCCAGGTGGAACAGGGAAGAGAAATATGAGGGCATGCACTTAATCCTGGGCGGGTTTTCTTTCTCTTGGAAGGACAGGCAAATTGCCAGAGACCGTCTGCCGATTGCTAATTGTGGTTTTCCTCTCCAGATTGTTGGTGACGCTGTTGGTTGGGGCTTTGTGGTGCGGGGAAGTAAGCCGTGCCACATCCAGGCCGTGGACCCCAGTGGCCCAGCGGCGGCGGCAGGAATGAAGGTATCTCCAACTGAATCATGTCTAAATACCTCTAGTCTCATTCCATTGTTTTCTGCCACCTGGACTTTCTCTCCTTGAGTGTTTTGGTCCCATTTTGGTCAAGTTTCCTTTTCCCTTTCTGAAGAGGGTTGAAATGAAGCCAAGAGCGTGTGACGCAGTGACCAAGAAGAAAAGGTTTCCTGTCACTCTGACGGGGCCTCATTGGTCTCCAGCCCTCCCTTAGTTTTTCTCATCTCTCCCCTTAACTAGTACTGAGTTTGAACATAAAATATTTGCTTTTTGCTCAAGTCTTATATGACAACTCTTCTGCTTCAGTAATATACAAAGTATATTCCAGGGGGATTTATGCAGCTAGTGGAGCATGCTTAGACCATGTGAGATAGCAAGTAGTGAGCAAAAGAAAACAGAAGTAATGGAATTTGGAAGAGGAGATCTGGATTCCTGTTTTGGTTCTGCTAATTTCTAGCTGTATGGCTTTGAACGAGTCCTATAACTATCTCAGAGCCCATTTTGTCCTCTTTCAAACAATAATTGTATTTCCTTCTGCTGTTTTATGGATTAAATATGTGAAAACACTTTATACCGTACAATGACACAAACATCAAAAAAGTTGAATGGTATTAAAGTAATGTATAGAGAGTCAAGAAAATGTAGAAAATACAGACCAGCAGAAAAAAAATTATAATTGCCTATAATCTTTCATAGCTCAGAGATAACCATAATTAACATTAACTTTAAACAGCTTTATTGGGGTATAATTGACATACAGTAAAGCATAGTCCTGTTCATGTTTTGATTTATATTCTTCTAGACTTCTTATAGTATGTATACACATATACATACGGACAGACATATGTGTATATGTCTATGTATATATTGGTTTTTTAAAGCTTTTTAAATCGAAGTATAATTAACAATGTTATATGAGTTCCAGTGTACAGCATACTGATTTGACAATTCTATAGATTACTCAGGGCTCACCTGGGTAAGTGTAGTCACCATCTGTCACATTGTTTTTATTTATACAGAAATATCATAGAAGAGGATGGTGAGAGCATTAGTTTTCTGCTTCAAAACACCCTTACTTGGGGCCCCTGGGTGTCTCAGTCATTTAAGTATCTGACTCTTGATTTTTGCTCAGCTTGTGATCTTGTGGATGTGAAATTGAGCCCCACATCAGGCTCTGTGCTCAGTGTGGAGTCTGCTTCCAATTCTCTCTACCTCTCCTTCTCAAACTCTCTCTCTCTCTCTCCAATAAATAAAATCTTTTTAAAAAAAGAAGAAAAACACCTTTACCTAGCCCAGTTTGTTCTGTCATTTGTAAAACATTCCCCAGAGGGCACTCATGCCTTGATTATCTCAGTTGTGGGAGGATGCAGAAGTCTTGAAAGCTACAGATCATTCCTCTGCTCATTTCTTCAACACTCCCCCTCTCCCTTCAGTCCTTTCCCTGGCCCAGCAAACCAGGAAGGCACTGGGCATGAATTGGATCTTCACAGCACTGATTTCCAGCACTTACCACCTGGCACTGATGTACCCACTGGAAAAGAAAGGTGGGCGACAGAGACCAGCTCAGGGCACACAGAGCACAGATTCCAGCCAGTCTGAGTAATCAGTGCTGTAGGAGTAGGGATTGACTCTGCAGCCTGATGTGAACACCTTATCATGCAGGGAGGGACAGGCTCACCTGGTCAGGAGCTCTGGCCAAGAGGCAGAAGCCTTGTTGGCCAGGTCCGTCTGGGTGGCAGACTCTTGTGCTATCCCCTCAGTCTGCAGCGGGCACTGCACCAAAGAAGCTCAGAGCAGGAAAGTTGGCCAGGAGCATACAGGGCAAGCATTTGTATCTGTGCCGAGGCTGAATTTGTCATTTTCTAATGGAACTCTTGGCTGGGGGGAGAGTTTTATATTTTATTTCCACAGTAAAGCACCTAGTATGAATTATTTTTGGCAGAGGTCTTCACTGCTGAGCATACACTCACTCACATGGGGCTTTGACTTAATGCATGTTTGCTTTGGGGAAAGCGATGGATTTACACTGTAGCTAAAGACCTTGTTTTGCTTGGCCATATAATTGATTGTAGTCTCTCTATTGATGAACATGAATAAATTGTTCTAGGCATTGTCAATCAATCAGTTAATTAACTCCCTAATGTATGTACCCTGATGGGTGGGTGACCTGATATATTCTTTTCAGTTTCATAAGCTACTACTTCATATGGTTCATATTCTCATTTTCTCAAGGGATGTACAATGGTTTTCATATGTTTTGGAGCAGTACAGAATTTTTAAAAAATATTTTATTTATTTAATTGAGATACAGAGTGAGCGAGAGCACACAAGCCAGGGAAGAGGCACAAGAGGGAGAAGCAGACTCCTTGCTGAGCAGGAAGCCTGACTTGGGACTTGATCCCAGGACCCTGGGACCATGACTTGAGCTGTAGACAGACACTTAACTGACTAAGCCACCTAGGTGCCTCAGCAGTACAAAATTTATTAGAGCAATATTTCCAAAGTTGTATTATTATACAGACCTCTAGTCCAGCACAATATCCTGACCTAAGGTTCTGTGATCAAAACTGTTTTATTTATCTATCATCTATCTACCTATCTATCTATCTATCTATCTATCTATCTATCTATCTATCATCTATCTATCTATATCTATCATCTATCTATCTATTTAAGAGAGAGAGTGTTCACCCATACCCAAGAGCAGTGGGAAGCAGGCAGAGGGAGAAAGAGAGAGAATCTTAAACAAGTCCACACCCAGCTCGGAGATTCAATCTCACAACCCCTGAGATCATGACCTGAGCTGAAATGAAAAGTTGGACACTCAACCGACTGAGCCACCCAAACACTCCCGTGATCAAAACTGTTTTAAACTGTTGCATGCTTTACCCCCTTTTGGAAGTTCAGGGAATGCGTTAGCATATTAAAAAAATTGCCTACCACCACATCTTATCATTTAATAGAAACACTCAAATGGAGTCTTATATTTGTTAAGAGATAGCATTAAATCTATTCAAAGAGGGATGCCTGGGTGGCTCAATCAGTTAAGCGTCCTACTTTTGCTTTCGGCTTAGATCATGAGATCGAGCCCCACGTCAGGCTCTGCGCTGAGCATGGAGTCTGCTTAAGATTCTCTCTCTCTCTCTCTCAAAAAAAAAAAGATTCTCTCTCTCACTCTCCCTCTGTCCCTCTACCCCTGCTCTTGCTGTCTCTCTTAAAATATAAAAATGTTCAAAGAAGCTGCTTTTGGTCAAACTCTATTGGGATGAATACAGAAAGAGAGAGTTTTGAATTGTATTGCTGGTTGAACAAAAAAGAGAATACCATGCCTTTCCAAATAATTTAACTGTGTATATTCATTTAAATTACGTAGTACATCATTTTCTCATAGAAAACACTGGATTATTTCCTATTTTACCATATTTATTTGCCCCGGAATGACTCCACTTACATAAAAATCCATTTGTATAATCCAGTCCTAGAGGCTTGTTTCCACTGACCTGTCACGTTGCTGTTGTCCTTTGCCCTTGTCCAGGAAAACTCAGGGCAGTGTGTCTGCTTGTATGATGCTCTGGGAGGTGGGAGCAGGGAAGCCACCCCATGGGAGTTTACCTGCTGACCTGGACAATGATTGACCTGCTTGGTTGGAGAAGAGGGGTAGAAATGATCCAAAATTCTGGCCAGAAGCCACCTTTTAGCACCGCTGACTGGCAAGAGCTTCCCCAGAACGGTGTAGAGTGCCTCATTTTGTCTTCAGATTAACTGTCTCTGTGGAATACCAGGCTGACCCCTCGAGTCATGGTCCTGGTTTTCTCTTGCTTTCTGATGTGGATAGAGCCTTGTGCCTGAGCCTTTGTGACTCTGGCTGCTGAATTTCATTACTTTACTTGGCAAGGCAGAGATCATTTTGTAGCTGCGTTTCCCATGCGTACCATTTCTCTCTCTTATTTCACCTTTTTATGGGGATTGGAAAGTTTTAAGATGTGGGCCACCAGCATATGGATAGGACAGACCCCAGACTGAAGGAACTGAAGGCTGTCTTTCCCCCCGTTAACACTTCTAGACCTTCTGAGACCCAAAGGAGAGCTCCTTATCTGGTTTAAATGACATCCTTTTTTTTTAATTTCATTGATTTATTCATAAGAGACACAGAGAGAAGCAGAGACATAGGCAGAGGGAGGAGCAGGCTCCCTGCTGGGAGCCCGATGTGGGACTTGATCCTGGGACTTCGGGATCCTGACCTGTGCTGAAGGCAGACGCTCAACCACTGAGATACCCAGGCATCCCTAAATGGCATCCTGAATCCATAATGAGAGGAGACCTTCATATTTGTATTTTATTTTGAGATTTTATTTATTTATTTGAGAGAGAGAGAGCACAAGCAGGGGGAGTGGCAGGCGGAGGGAGAAGCAGACTCCCCACTGAGCAGGGAGCCCGATGTGGGACTTGTCCAAGGACCTTGGGATTCATGACCTGAGCTGAAGGCAGATGCTTAATCTACTGAGCCACCCAGATGCCCCTCATACTTGTATTAAAGTTTACTTCTCCAGAACATCTGGAAGACCTTCAAAGAACATGTGTCCTTCGAGAGAGTGACAAGGTCTACCCCAATTCTTTTCAGGACTGTAGTAGAGAAATCTGGGACCTTTGTGCCTGGGCCACCGAGCTCTCATGCCTGCCTCTCTGCAGGCTGACTGAGGCAGGTGGCCCCGGCTCAGGCAGCGAGGCTGCAGGGTGGGATTGCTGAGATGTAGGGCAGGGAGCATATATGAATGTGCAGAGCAGGGGGGCTTCCAGCCTGACCTCAGTTGATTTTTTTTTGTTTTTGTTTTTTTGGATTTTTTCTTTTTTTTTAATAATAAATTTATTTTTTATTGGTGTTCAATTTGCCAACATACAGAATAACACCCAGTGCTCATCCCATCAAGTGCCTCCCTCAGTGCCCATCACCCATTCACCCCCACCCCCCGCCCTCCTCCCCTTCCACCACC